GGCGGCGACCAGTGAGTCATGGACCTCAGAATTGGGAGGGGCAAGGAATAGAGGGTCCCAACGCTGGAGGGAGATGAGAGATGGGGGAGGGGATGCTGGGTGAGGATTAGGGAGGAAGGAGGAGGGGCGATGGTCGGGGAACTTAACTGATCGACGATGAAGAGATCGATAAGTAATTAGTGAAGGAATGAGAAAGAAGAATAGAGAAATGAGGATTGAAGAATAATAAACAACTAAATAAGATGGAAGGATATATTAATGAGGAAGAAATCTATAGACGACGAAAGGGAAAACAAAGAGTTTAATCTTAATTAAAATGTTGGCCAGCGTCGCGGGACAAAGGACTGGTGTAGCAACTTTCACTATTATGTGTAATGAACGTTGACACTATTATGTGTAATGAACGTTGGTTAAGTTTTTATTACTAGTGTATTTTTTTAGCTCATCTTGCCCGCTGGACCAAGGGAGCTGAAGGCGTGGAGTTGACTTTTGTCCACCTAGCTTGCATCAACTTTTTCTTGAGGCGACTTCTTCTAAACCAACGGGGCCAAGTCCATGAAAGCCAAGCAGGAATTATTCTTAGCAGGACGGAGAAGCAGAATTCTTGAAGTGACCGGCCAGGAGAGAGGCTCCGAAGGTAAAAACGTCTACTGAACCGATGCGATGATCCAGATTTATAGATACAAGGAGACATTTTATTACAAGTCTGGCTTGGCATTTTACAAGGGGAACAAAACCACAACAATAATGTAAACTATAGTTGGTCCACAATAGGCAGATCCGTTTACACTCATCTGCCCAACCTTTATTTGAACCTTTCTGACGATTTCGAGTTAATGGCGGTGTTTGATAACTTGTCCACCCAACCCAACCTATTTTCCAAACCACTGTTTACTTAATTCCCGCCTAAATATAATGTCTATCTGTTCAGATAGACACCTTTATTTAACCACATCTTCCCATTTATACACTAGGGGAAACGTCACGGCAGGGTTAGCTCCCGAGGGATAATTATCAGATATGGCCAGTGCTATGTGTGGTCTTGGTTGTGTGAGTTTGTTGACCAAACTGGAGTGGTCCATGGAAGAATTGGCTAGGGTCAAGGAAGAAATTGAGAGGGCCACGTTGGAGAACCTGAAATTAAAGGAAGAGCTGGCGAGGTTAAAAGGGGAGGCTGGACAGGGAAAGCCAGTGTCTGACGAAAACTCAAGCGAGTGGAAAGTTGTGAGGAGTGGGAGGACCAAGCTGGTGGTGAAGAAGTACACCAAGGATACGACGACAACAACAGCTAAGTGTACCAACTCGTTCAGTCCCTTGATAGACGAATTGGACGTTAGTACAGTCAGGGAAAGGGATGACAAGGAAGGTATAAAAACTTTAATCGTTGGTGACTCACAGGTACTGTAAGGTACTTGGACAGGGCCTTTTGTGGTAAAAACAAAAATAGGATGAGGGTGTGTTTGCCAGGAGCTGGGGTGGGGGATATAATTGACAGGATGGACAATATCTTCTCTGGTAATGGGAACAAACCATTATCTGCCTCAGTGCAGGAGGCAATGGTATTGGCCGGTGTAGGAGCAAGGAGCTTCTTGATAAGTTCAAGGCAGCTATAGATCGTATTAGGTCTAAGGGAGGGATCCCTATCATATGCGGTGTCCTGCCTAGGAGAGTTGGCCGTGAATGGTTGTCAAGGGCGGTTGGTGTCAACGACCGTCTTGACAGATATTGCAAATCAATATTGGTCCCATTCATTGACAACAGGGACAACTTCTACGGCAGAAGGGACCTTTATGCTAGGGATGGGGTGCACCTGTCTCGGGAAGGGGTGGCAACCCTGGCTGGGTCTCTAGATGGGGCAGTTCAAAGGATATCGAAGTCTTTAAACTGCGAGAGGAACATATGGGCACGGGGGTGGGGGAAACTGCAGTGGAAGCGGGTAAACAAAGTAAAAGATTACAGGGAAATAGTGTTAGGAATGATGACAAAACAAAATTAAACGGAGTTTAAAACTAAACGCAGTAAAGGGAGGACTCAGAACACGACTAACTTAAACGTCTACTACGCGAACAGTAGAAGTATGAGAAACAAAATGGATGATATTAGGGCCTTGGTATGTACCGAAAAAATCGATATAATAGCATTCACTGAAACATGGATCAACCTAGACTCGCGTTAGTTGCCGGTCGAATACCAAATTGCGGGTTACAAATTGTTCCATACCGATAGGCAGACCAGGAAAGGAGGCGGAGTAGCAATCTATATTAGGGATAATCTGAAGTGTGAAATAAATAAGGAAATAAAAACTGAGCGGAATACAGAAACAATTTGGATAGAATTAAGCGACGGTAGGGAAAAACTAATCACAGGAGTAATATATAGACCTGCCAATCTTGATAGAGTCAATGAGCGACTTATCTGGGATGAAATGCGCAGGGCTTCCATACACAACAAAGTTTGTAAAGTAGGCGACTTTAACCTTGGCCAAATAGATTGGACTGACCTTACGGGTAACTCAGAATCAGAGGATTTTTCTCGAGACGATCCAGGACTGTTTCTAAAGTCAACATATAACCGAACCCACACGGGGTAATAATATACTCGATTTAGTTCTGTCGAACAGAGAAAACCTCATTAGCAATGTCGAGGTAGGGAACGAACTTGCAAACAGCAATCACAAAGAAATTCGATTCCAGTTAGATTTTCAGGGCAGACTTAAGGAAAATTCCACTAAAGTACCAGATTTCAGAAGGGCAAACTTTGACAGTTTAAAGAGGCAGCTGAGAGAGGGGGTGTCGCGCTTGGCCGTGAACCTGACAGATGACTCCGACCTGATAACGACATCTGAGATTGCCGAGTTCCACGACAATTTAAATAATGAGTTACTTAATGCACAAAGGCAGAACATACCATACAAAAAACTCAGATCAGACAACAATGACCCTAAATGGATGAATAATTATTTAAAGAACATCATTGGTCAAAGGAAGGCTATAGGTAGAAGGATAAAGCATGGCGAAATTTACCTCCAGGATTATTATAAGATATTGGCGAGTTGGGCTAAAACCGAGATAAGGAAAGCCAAGAGGAATAATGAGGTAAGGATAGCAAGGGAGGCGAAGACAAATCCCAAAGGATTCTACCAAATGTATCAAACTAAAACACGAGAAAAGATTGGACCAATACGGTCAGATACCGGCGAGCTCACTGATAATGACGGAGAAAGCAATAATCTGAAATAATTTTTCAACAGTTTTCACCACCGAAAATTAAAACATGATACCCGAGGCACCGACTCTATTCAGAGATAGTGAAGAAAATAAATTAAGCGAGATAGTAGTGACTAGTAACGATGTTAGTAAGCAAATAGCCAAACTAAAGCCTAATAAGTCACCTAGGCAGTTTACCAGACCTCTTGGATCTACCACTGTCATTATCAATAAAGTGAGTCATGTTATTAGAAGTATACTATCACCAATCAACAATGCGTTAAGTAATTGTCAATAATTATTGTATTAGTTAGAATCACATGAAGAATCGCCCTCCAGCTAACACCCCCCCCCCCAGCGTTAGGGTCGTCATTCCCGTGAAATAAAATGAGGGGGGGGGGGCAATCTTTAGGTGATCAATTAGTTACTATAATTATTACTTACTATTATTAGTATTGAAAATATACTGTTAAAGAATTATCAGAAGAAAGTTTTCGAAATGTTGGGAAAATACGAGAAAGACCGAGGTGGAAATTAAAGTCAGAGATAAAAGAAAACACAAAAATAATATAAGAGAGATTGTGGAAACGTATGTCTGACAAAGAAGGGAATCAACTGAGGGAAACTCTCATACAGCGCCTGATGGTAATAATGCTTTCCTACAATAAGAGTTAATGGTTCTAAAACGGCAAGAGTCTCGGTAAAAAAAAAAGAATAGTATAAAAAATAACTACAGTTTAAGAGTGTAAAATAAAAGTTCTCGTAAATAATACACCATGAAACCTGGCAAAAGCGGCGTTGGTAAATAAAGGATCTAAAAGTATAGTAAATTTTAGCTGTCATCATCCTGTGTTGTTGGTCTGGGAGGAAATTGGCTGGAGGGTTGAGCTGCTCGCCACGCCAACCCGCGCAGAACCGTCGACCCACTTCCCGCCACCCACCTCCCCTCCCCCCCTACATACGCCCGCGCACGCCGGTAACGTAACATCGACCCTGTATTACACACTGATCCTTAATACCTAACGATCCGTCTTTCATTATGGTCGTTATGGTTACCCCCCTAGGATGCTAAAGGTTATCGAGGAGTCATCGATCATCAGGCAGCCGGGGGGGGGGGGGTAATCGTTTTCATCGAGTCAAATTGTTAAACGTCAATATATATATTTTTTTAATATTCTGATTTGTACTGTTTTTGTTTGCTACATTTAATTCAAGTGTTGGTGCATTTGGAGTATAAATCAATTGTGTTGTTTGTCACGTGAAAAACCTTTACCTATGGAGACGAAAACCTTCCCAATAATGCCTCTTTAAATATTAACTTGCTGATGATTTTGTGCCTGACTTCCAACGACAGTCCACCGAAGTTAAAGGCAGCAGCCGTGGTTTGCGTAAGTAAACTTTAAGGTAGTTTAAACACCGCATCAGGTGAGGTAAACAACCTTACCTTTCATGCTTTGCTAATGTTTGTTTTGTTTACACTTTTTGAAGATAGTTTAGCTAGCCGCCCTTTACACGGTGTTGTCTATCATTAGTGCACACAACTTTAAGGTCACAGTAATATTTAATTCACCCCAGACCTTCTAAAACTAAACAACTACAGCTCAAGTTCCCCAAACGATTCACAACATACTGTAAATGTCTATGTGACCTTCAGTATTTGTAACCTGTTAAAACATCAACATGCCTTCACTAGAAACCCACCACCAAAGTTTCACAGGTCGTGACTAAAAAAGGTATTTCCTTTCATGAAATCTTACACTAGTTCTTGGAAGACACTTTCATGAATGTACTTACCTCCAGTGATGGTTCCTGAGTATTGTTAGGTGTGATTTAAATTCAATCTCGTGTGTGAAGTCCACTATTACACTTAATCCGCACACTTTAATATTCAACAGTAAACACAGAGCGCCTCACACCACGTCCTCTTCTCTGAACGATGGAAGTGAAAGTACAAAGTTGTAGACGCTCGCGCTGGTATTTAATACCTCGGTTAGCTACGTCACAGAAGCGTCACCGTCAGCGCCGAGTCAGAACGAAAGCGGCGTTGTCATTGGCCAGCACAAACCCGTGAGGTGGTAGACCCACATTTATTGGGTAAAACTAGTGACGTCACCGAGAAAACACCTCCACATTGGTTTGACGGACGTAAATAAAAATATACTTCCTCGGCTTCTTGACTTTGAAGTTATATGAATTTATTTTTATTAAAGTAATTACTGTTTAGTTAGTTGATATTGAGGAAACAACCGAACACACTAATTATATCATTAAATACGGTACATATATACAGTATTATATATTTTTTCTTCTGGGCAGATATTACTTCTATTACTGTTCCAAATAATTGTTTTGATAACAAGTTCCTACGAGAGGCAACAGCCGAAGGGGATTTCAACACAACATACAGATGTAACCCATGTGATTACCGCGTCTAACCCACTCACGACTGTACGACAGGGGTTCTATTCAGCACATAACATAAGAATGGAGGAAACTGCAGCGGGCCTATTGGCCCATACTGGGCAGTCCCGTTTACACCCAACCCCTATTGCTCATATAAGCAGCCAACCTATGTTTGAAGCTATTCAGCGTATTCGAGTTCAGGATGATATTTGGTAACTTGTTCCATTCATCCACTACTCTGTTTCCAAACCAGTGTTTACCTATTTCACCCCTAAATCTAAATTTGTCTAATTTAAAACCATTGTTACGAGTTCGCTCCTGGTTGGATAGTTTGAGTACCTTTGTAATGTCCCCTTTGTTTAGCCCTGCCTTCCACTTATACACCTCTATCAGGTCGCCCCTCGCTCTACGTCTCTCGAGGGAGTGCAAATTAAGATGCTTTAACCTGTCTCTATACTCAAGGTTCCTAATGCCCGGGATTAGTCTTGTCATTCTCCTCTGAATTCTTTCCAAGGATTCTATATCCATTCTATAATACGGTGACCAGAACTGAACTGCGTAATCGAGGTGTGGTCTCACAAGAGCAAGATGCAGTTTTAGGATGACCTCGCTCGTCTTGTAACTAACACTCCTTTGTATGAACCCAAGTATTTTATTAGCCTTGTTACTAGCAAAAACACATTGTTTACTTGGCTTAAGGTTCCTGCTTATCATTACTCCTAAATCTCTCTCGCAGTCGGATTTCTCTATGGCATCCTTGTTCATCTGGTATCTGGTTTCCTTGTTTACATCTCCTATACTGAGTACTTTACATTTGTCCACGTTGAATTTCATCTGCCATTTTTCAGACCATTCTAAAAATTTGTTTAGATCTTCCTGTAGTTTTGTGGAGTCCTCGTCAGATTTAATAACACGTCCTATTTTAGTGTCATCAGCAAATTTGCTTCCTTACATTCCTTTAATACTCTGGCAAAGATGAATTATCTATATGACAAATTTAGACCAACAACCAAATATAATACTGTATTTTCACTATAATTCTAGAAATTTATTCTCATAAAATTAGATGAAGATTAGTATCCAGTGACTCAGAAATACGTTATTCAGGTTAGGACTCAGACTGAGGTACACAGAACAGAACCACTAAGTTAAGGTGCTTATATTTATCACTCCCATCAAACATATAATGACCTGACTCACAGAAAACACCTTTATAACACCTGACTGTTAAGACCAATATCCTGGGTAAATCCACGTTAAGGCAAGGTATTCTCAGACCTCCTCACGTCCAGGGGAGTGGGGAATAAGATGTAGAAAAGATCCGTTTAGTAAGTCAGTCAAGAGAGGCGGGTATAGAGCTGACAACACAGCCAAAAATCCCTACCCGCTATAATCCCCCCCCCCCTGGGTTAGAAGCGTTAATCCCGTGAGGTGGCACCAGTACTCTAAGCTTCTGCCATTATGTCGTTTACTGAGTCCTGCCTTAGTGGTGCCGGTCCCGATTATTCTCTTTTGAATGTATGTATTGTGTCGTTTAACTTCTATTCTGCAGACTGACATACGGATAGGGGTGGATAGTTAACATATAAGACGCTATTCACCCTTTACAGTCGTCCATGTATCACGATCTCTGGGGAAAAAATTATGTTGTCCCAATTTTCTGTCGCCGGTGAGCAGTGAGGCACAAGCTAACCTGATGTAAATTAAGCTATACGATTATGACCAAGTTCTAATGAGGTTCCTTCCAAATAGGTCTGAACACTAATGGGCTCAACCTTAATTAGTCCATTTTAATGAACAGCAATCGTAAGAGGCCCCATTCCTAATAATTACTGCGGGGCCTATTAGGACGTGGGCCCATTTGACCTGCCCCCACCCCTCTAATGTGCCGGGATGTCACTCGCTCCACCAATACCCATTATACAGTTATATGTACCTAATGTTATGGAAGGTGACTTAACTCCGACACACTGACGCTGCAGAAGTAAACTGTTAATACTATAGTGGATTAAGTCTTCTTCTTAACGTTCTTTTACTCCTTGGTGTGGCTTCTGACTCCTTCTCTTTCTCTGTATTTTATTTTTTATTTTTTTGTCACGTTTTGTATTTCAGTCTCTCTCTCTCACAATAACAGAGGCGTCAGGAGTGAGAATTCCCCCCCAGTCCCTCCTCCACCAGCCTAAGAAAACACACCCATTGGCTAGGTCCTCTCGGTGGCTCCCTTCAGAGACCCCTAAAAAGATGCCGCTCTCTAAAACGGTTACTTTATGAACGTCCACAAAAGCGATAAGCTGCCTCAACATTCCCCACATTCCACCGTCTTAAAAAATGAAAAATAACGACACTGGTTTTTTTTACAGTAATTTACTTTAAATTTTATGATTCTTTTTAATAACCTTATGTGTTTACAGAAAGGCGGATTAAGGTTCTATACTATATATGACAATCTTCTGTGTATTATAGAAGCGTGGGCTGAGTTACTATAATCTAAATGATAATATAATTTGGGAATCACCTGAAGTTCAATAACCAGCTTATTTCACCTGATGATTAAACACCCTAACTCTACGTGAGGGGTTATATATCGTTAGGTTAGGTTAGGTTAGGTTAGGTTAGGTTAGCGTTAGATAGTTAAATTTAGCTATCTATATGTTTATTTGTAGCTTACCTGTATCTGTGACTTTATTAACACTGTTATTTTTAGTTGATTGAAATAAATTATATTATAAAGTGATTCTCTGTACTCAAGCGTGGACAGAGGTCAAGGCAGGAGACTCTTGGCAACTTGCGGTATGTGACAAAGAATGTTTTGGCTTGATTACTATCAACGCCGCCACACCCTGGTGGGGGGGGGGCAGGTAGGCGTGTATTTAGGGAGGCATGAAGGTAGATGATGAGGTGTGTGGGTATAGGCCTTAAGGTAGACAGACAGGTAGGTCACACAGGTAGGCCAGTGGGTTGATGGAAAGACCAGGCCGACACAGAGACAGATTTAGATAGATATTGACTCACCACATCTTGCTAGCCTCCCCATACACTGTTCGCGTCATTTGTAGCCAAGACACAGAGCTGTGCATAGAATCCCTCCCCACGAAACAGAAAAACCAACGATCTTTAGTAATAACCTCCTGTGTCTTGTGTGGTAGACCGGATGTACTGTGTTCTTTTACACTTAACTTAACTGTGTATTGTAATGAGTGACACGTTTGTTATCATGGTTGTAATTACGTTAGTAGTTCGGCTTCTGTCTGATCATGGTGTAACGTCATTTAAGTTGCTGAATATTATTAGTGATTTGGTTTTTTGGATACTTATAAAAAAATGTTTCGTTTGTCTGTATGTTGCTTATTTTTCTATTTATTGTTATGAAGAAAGAGATGTTAGTAAATAATGAAGAATTTATCAACATCTTCACCTTTGTCCCTACCTTAGTTTATTTTTAAGTTAACTCAAAAACACTATTATATTTCATCGAGTTTTTCGTAAATATACCAAGGTTTTTTGTCTGAAATATCTTTGGTTTTTATATAAATTTAATCTAAAATAAATCTAAATACCAGAATTCTTTTTTATTACAGTATTCTTTTTTTCGTGTTAACTCTGAACATCTCAATTTTTTCCCCCAGACAACAAAGGATATAGATTGCCACAATAGATCTTTCTTCTTACCTGCTGACAGACCTATGAAAGAGGCCGTTGACCATCTCACCCTGTACTGCCCTAACTAAAAAAAGATATTTTCGCATTTCTTAAAAGACATTTCGATAGCCGTGAGAAGCAGCACAAGACGTCACATATGGTACAAGTTTCTTATATATAGTCTAGTTTATCAGTAAATTGAATGTTTCTCATAACTGGAGATGTGAAAATACACATGAGGAGTTGATTTCATTGAAGGAATTAAGGCTGAGAAACATGATGAGAATTACAGAGATCTTACGTAACTAAATGCATTAATTTAGTACCAGTTAGGGGACAAAATGAACTTAATCTCTTTCCTGTATTTGTAACCTGCCACTTATTCATTTTCCTCTTATTTCCTTCGTTTCTTTCACCTATTTGATGCCTCTCTATTCCCGCTTTATCATGTGCTCATGTTTAGGTTTTCACACATCACTCCATCAGTGACGAAAGATGTTGATATAATCTTATTTCTACACAGCCAAGAGGGACTCCGACTACCCGCCACCTTCAGGAAGCTCTTCGTCGCCAGAGGAGGTAAGCGGAGGAGGACCCAGCGTGGTATGTAGGTTACGTTAGGTTAGGTTGTTGATATTTTCTGTTGTGGGTAAAATATGTTTATTATTATTATTATTATTATTATTAGTAGTAGTAGTAGTAGTAACTTCCCTCATAAATAAATAATAATACCTATTTTATTTTACCTATTTTACTCACATTTTTAGTTGATAGCTTAGACATGTTTTAAAGAATCAGACACAAAACAAAAAGTAAAGAAAACAACAGGAATTGTCCAAGGCTGACATACACTGAGTGCTGAGAGGCAGACCTTCCGGGACACGAACACGGAACA